AACGATATATATATATATATATATATATATATCGGTACAATCGATTCTATTTACCCGCGCAATGTGCACGTTGTATGACGTGCGCAATGATAATGTTTTGGGATATGTTTAGAACAACACAAGTAGACATGAAACAGCGCGCTTCCGCATAACTCCAAGAAGGCGGGGCTGTAATAATCTATACGTACGAACCTTGACTTGCAAATTAGTTTATTATTTTCGCACTACGGGGATAACCGTATCGCCACCTCCCTTTAAGTGTACGACGAGGTAATGCGCCTGGCCTGCAGGCAAAGTACTGCTCTGTAATTGGACACCGCTAATGCATCCCGCCCTCGTTCGTCGAACGTGAATGGAATAAGGTGGTTACAAAGGAACGACGAGGAAATCGAAAGGAAGGAAAGGTGAGGAAGGATGTCACGTGCCGATGCGGTAAGCGTAGTTATTTAGTTTGATCGTGCAACCGATCTATTCTCTCTCCTCGTAGCTCGTATCTTCCATCTCGATTCGACCTCGACGTTCCGTCGACGCTTCTGTTCAGCTTCCCGTTCAGCATCGCTCCCCCCGACTTTTTCAGCATCGTCCAGCCGTCGCTTTTACGCGGCTTCTCCGCCGCATAATGCACTCCGTTGCGTTTCCATTCCGTATCCACGTCGACCACGTCGTTCTACGGTAACCATTTTCATTTTCCACGAGGTTTCCTTTTCCTCGCTTGTTCAACGCTCGCTTCTTTCGCTTTCTACGTTCTTCCATAAGGTGCACACTTTCACGACACGTCCGTCCTCATCCCTGCTCATTTCCCATTGCCCTTCCCATCTTCTCGACATGTATTTCCTATTTCCCAGAAGCTGAATCCCTATTCTTCAGCGTCTACTTTAACATAGAATACCGTTGATCACTTCGAATCGCGGTGATGACCTGGATACGACTTATCGTTCGATGCTGTACGACGCTATAACATCCTACACTGTTTTGCCATACTTCGATTCAGAGCCCGCAGCTTCTGGGAGCTTTAGTTTCTCTCGCAGCTCGATGCTACCGAAGATGTTGAGCTTGAGATAGAATCGACGACTCTCGAACGTTTCAAGAACGTTCGCGAATGGTACCCGGCACGACCATATTTCGTTCTTGCGAAGGCGCGATAATCCGACCAAACCTTCATTTAGGTGCGAAGAAGGTGCTCAACTCGTGCTCAAAGACAAAGAGAGAAGGTAAGAAGGCCAAAGAGGAGGACGGTAGCGATAGACAGGACCAAAGAAATTGAATCCATTATGCGGTAGATCCGACGATGAAACCCCGAAGGGGTTTATTTTATACCGTGCCAATGTTCTCTCGAAAGTTAAATGTTCTTTCGGGCTACGTTTCACTTCGATAACAAGAAACTCGATCGATTCATTCATTATATTAGTAATTCAGCAAATAATTCAACGTCATATTGATTTCTTATTAAAAAATGCCAAATTTAGAAATAAAAAATGTTGATCTCATTCTATCTTACTTCATCATTTAAGAGAAGAATAATTGATCCACGTTAATATCATCAATTATATTTGCAACTTTATAAATCTTATAGAGTGTTATTTGTCAAATATTTTTATAGATCAGAAATTATTTGATTGACATTTATCCATATTTTAGAGTGAATCAAGTAGCTGATATTAGCGAGCTAAAAGATTTGACGGTAAATAGATTTATGACGCAGTGATAACCAGAGCTTCGTTTAGCAAAAGGTGAGACGAGTACGGATATAGAGAGGAATAGAAATTGAATATATTACGGCTGAAGCGTCGCTGTATAACACAGGATATCGTCTATCTTACTGATTTTCTTGGCAAACTTGTCCGCTCCTTAGACGATGCATTCATATCGCCTTTAAATTTGATGAAAATATTACTGACTATACAATGTTTATTACTGAGGAATAAGCCAACCACAAATTTTATATAGATTCTTTGTTTCCCGCATAATTTTCATCTTTGTGTTGTAATATGTGGTGTATTAAGAGCATCTTAGCTTAAGAATTTTCAATATAAACTGTACTTGAAATCAACTTATACAATCGCACGTTCTTTCATAATTGTATATAAATTGTAGAAAGAAATGTTTGCAACTTTTTTAATTCAATGTTAATATTTAATATTTGCATACATAGATGTTGTAAATAATAGCAATATAAAAAACAAAAGTAAGACATTTTTTTAAGATAGAAAACTGCTTTGAAAATAACACTAACATATTTGAAATCAAATATCGATATTAAATATCGATAAACTGCAAAAATATGCGTTTGAAATTACAAATATCTTGCGATGTTAAAAATATTTTATATATATATATATATATATATATATTATTATTAATCATTAATATTACAGATTAAATTTTCTCTATGGATAGATATAAAATTAGTTAGTTAGTTGTGTGTGTGTGTGTGTGTGTGTGTGTGTGTGTGTGTGTGTGTTTTAATTATCAATATTCACAACTATAAAATAATTAATAAGGAAGTAATATATGCTGTATAGCGATCATTTTTACATAATTCACCGTAAGCAGATGTCGTTACATTATCGTCCATTATATCTCTACAGTGTCGTTAGCGTTTAGTCCCTGCGAAGCTTGCTCTCAAGAAAGAACGTAATTATAATGGTGACGACAAGAATGTATAATACGAAACTATGTTAATGCACTGTAAAACCTAATTATTAGCACAAACAAGCAAGAAAAGAGCACCCCAGGCTTTGTATTGGCTCTTATGAATTTCTTACGTTAAGATTATTTAATGAAAGGAATAAAGCGACGACACGAACGTCGTCGTTTGAAGGTCCAACGATGCAAAGCGGAACGAAGGCGAGGCAGGCAGTCTATTATGTACCGAGTCTAATAACAGCTTACCGGAGCTTACTAAAGCTTCCTGAGAGCTCCTGGAAGCGAAGTGATTGTTACAGATATCGAGCGTGGCAACAAAGAGGTAGGACCAATGGGATTTCAGAAAAAAAGAGTTCGCTCAAGAGCTTCTTCTTTTTCATAGTAATTTTTGCTATCGTTGAGCCTTTGTAATTGCGCAAGAATCTCGGAGATCTTTTCAAATTAATCGGCGCGAGTCGGAGAATCTATTAAAAAATGAATGTGAAGATAAGCTGCACTAATATTTGCGTAATTTCAATTTGCAAATGTTAAAGAGATATTTAATCAACTCCACCTCTATCTATAATGATACTACATAAATTGTTAACAAAAAGACGTTTCTTTAAAAAGTTAATCATTTTTTTCAGAAAAGAAGAAAAGTAATATATCAAATAATAATGAAAACAGTTCATTTTATTTAATATTAATATTCACATTATTTATGAAAATTTTATATATGTATTATGTATATGGATTGTTATAAATAATGTATAACGAAAGCGTTCTGCCATAGCTGAATCTCCTAAAAAAATTTTATAATAAAAAGAATAAAGCATTTGTGATCGATTATTCTGGCGATTTAAAACACATCACTGTTTTTATAGGATCGCTTACATCAATTCAACAGATTTATTTAGCATCATCGACAATTCATTTTCACTCTCTTCCATTTTCCCTCGCTCCGTTCATTTAAATGTCTTTCTCTGAAAGGTAAGTTTTTTTAACCTCATTCAGACGATATCTATCATTAAACGGAAGCGTAATTAGTCAGTATCCTACGTTATCCGATCCATGAAAATTGGACGGAAGTAGAACATTTATTACGAGAATACTTTGACGAGAATGTCGATTAGTGCGTCATCGTTATCTTGAAGGGACTATCGATCCGATTCAAGGAGCAACAGAGAAAACTTAGGCGTCAAATGTCAACGAACGACAGTACTCGAGTTTCGCGAAGGACGATAATTCGTCGCGCAGCAATAATCGAGATCATTTGTCTTTTAAGAATCGCGAATAAAAAGGAAAGAATAATGGGCATCTACTGTCCCTTACCTTTCCGGATCCTCTTGAGTTGCATAGAAGAACACCGGCAGCGTGAATCCTGTACTCTTTGTCGAGTTGCTCGTGTTGTCCTTGAATTTTTCTGCGGGCAAAAAATTTAACGGAAAGATTAATTTCACAAAGTAGTCTCATAAAAGCGAACGCAAGATATAAACTTTTTCTGAGCTGCTAAATTAAATATTATCATTATGAATGAAAAAATTACAATAGAGAGCCAATAGCCAATAGCTGAAACGTGAACAATATATCGTAAGTGATAATCATCAAATTAAATTTGATAAAAATAAAACTGTCTTTACGTCGAGAAAATTTCGTCGCGTAAAAAAGCTCCATCATCTTGGAGCATCATTTTCGTGTGAAACTACCGAAAGTGTAAGAGCAGTTTGGCTACCATCTTCAGATCCTCCTTGGCTAGGAGCCTAAGCCGCCATAACGAGAAGACGATGGCATCCTCACGACCCACTAGCACATTTTCTGGGAGACCTTTAGCCGGTGATTTACAAACTGAAAAAGTTTCTTGAGCGAAGCAACTTTGGCAATTACGAGAAAGCAAACTAAATCTTATAAATTAGGGTTCTTCCGCCTGCCTCCTCGCACGAGGAGGTGATTCCATGCACTCGCGTGCACTTGCACGTGATCGCAAGCACATGACGAACGAGCGCGTGAGCTCGAGCGCGTGAGTTCTCTCTCTATCCGGAAAATTCCCCGGAGTTTGAACCGGCACGGTAAAGTTCAGAAGGGAATTAATTGCGCGAGTGAGAGGTATCGTATGAGCTTTTTTGTCGATTAAGCTGGATTTTGAAAGCGGTTGCAGGACGCTTTAGCGCACATTCAGCGACGGCGATAACATGCTAATCTTGCCTACAAAGACTTTACTAACGTCGTAGACTGTATATACGGTATAACTCTGCTCAAGAGAAATGAGGGGGGAGATTAATAAAATTGAATAATACTTTATTTTATTTTAGATATTTAAAAATATATTAAAGAGGAATGTCAAACATTTACGAATGTACACAAGATGTAGATTTATAGTAACAAATTTTTTTCACGTTCAACAAACAAATATTAAAGAAAATTCTATGAGTCAAAACTATAATTGAACGCTAATTTTTATTATACGTAAAATAACCATTTTTTATTTAGTCGTTTTATATTGTTAGTCGCTCGTTTTGATATTTTTTAAAGAAATAAAGATTGTTTAGAAAACAATCAAAAACTTGAATAACTTGAAGACAAATAATTGAAATTGAATTATATGTGAACTATATGATGCAATTCGTTCTATTTTCGACGACTTTATCGTACGACGAACAGAACTTACCGGGAACATAATCTTTCGCTTAATATCTCTCAGAATATGCTAACACATTATACTGTAGTAATATTATATGTAGTAATATTTCATCGGATAAATTTACATAAGTGTTATGGAGATTTGCTTTTTGTCTAAACTTTCTCTTCAAAAGATTTTCCACACCACTAAAATCGATTTAAGACAAGGTTACGCACTTGATTTTCAGTGCAAAGTACCTAGATTCTACCTGAAGTCTTTTTCCTTCGCGAAATTCCTATCTTTTGTCTCAGCCAAGATCGTCGTAGCAGCCGTAGAATAATAAATATGTAAAAGCTTTCATTACTTAAGAAATGTCGCATATATTTACCACTTTTATTATATATATATAAAATTATATTTGGTTATATCTTAATTTCACGTTTTTAATTCGGTCCTCCGAATACTTGTCTCTTTAATCGTCTTGTACATTTTTGAATATTAAAAATTAGGATTATAAAATTTTGAGATATATCCATTATCTTGTAAATTTATCAATATCGCATAATCAAACGGCCGACTGTAAGAAAGCCGTGTACAAACAAGACACTAGAGATTGCAAACGCGAGGGTGGAGCTATTCAAACAACTTTGCATTTGTACGCGTGAAAAAAAAAAAGAGTCTCGCGTTCCGCTGACCTGCTGCACTCTTCCTCAAAGCCTCCATTACTCTTTTCCGCCACATGTAATGCAAAAAGTGAAAAGAATTTAAAAAATTTTGCTCGTGCAAAATAAAATAAGGTTCCACTCCTGGAAACTGTGCCACACTCTCATTTCCGAGTCGATTCATTACAAAGTCAACGGAAAGTATTTACAGTAAATCACGTAATTGAACTTTACGCGACGATAAGATAATGCACAAGTTACGAAACTTTGTGATGCTGCGTACTATAAACTGAAAAGTTAGTTTAAACCTTGATATTAATGAGTTAAGCTTCGTTAGAACGTAATTTCGCTCGTTATGTTCGCTTGAGCATTATGCAGAGTATACTGAAGATAACGCGATGAAACATTTTCTGATGGGAGTAAAAAGTGCTGCGATAAAATTATTACTCCGTCACGAGACCGCCCTCGCTAAATCTTTTAGAAGTTAAGCTTTTGCGTTCCCATGGGAGTCGGTTCTAACATAAAGTTCGCGTTTATTCCACGTTTTAGTTGCCTCTTAGTAAATGTATTATTCGAAAGCCTCTACTACACAAATAATTATTTATCTTAGTACATATAAAATATTGAGAGAGAGTTTCATTAATATTGAGAGAGCAAGAATTTTCTTCAAAAGAGAGACTTACTGTATAAATTTTTAAATACTTGTTTGCGAATAAAACAATATACTCTAGTTTAAAAATTAAAGTTAC